AGGAGCACGGGGATGGGGACAGGAAACGGGGATGGGACAGGAGGATGGGGACGGGAAGAGGAGGGCAGGGATGGAGACGGATGGGGACCGGGCCTGGGGGACAGGAGCAGGGTGGGGGAACAGGGAAAGGGGACGGAAATGGATGGGGGATGTGGGTAGGGCATGGGGCAGGATGGGGAACGGTGCAGGGAGAGGGGACGGGGCGAACGKGGTGGATGGGGACGTGGAGGACAGGGAAGAGGGAACAGCAGCATAGAGGAGGGTGATTTGGGGTTGGAGAGCGGGGAGCAGGGTCTGGGGACATGGGACACGGCACAAGGGAAGGTATTGGGAATGGGGGATTGGAGACAGGGGATAGGGGAGCGGGGACAGGGAGCCTGTGCCCAGGGATGGGGGTTAGAGATAGGGGACAGGGATAAGGCACAGGGAGGCGATCGGGGTCTGGGGGTGGCTGATAGAGCCATGGCTGCAGGAGGGGCATGGGGAGCAGAGACGGGACCCCTGTCACCATGGGACATGGGGTATAGGGTGGTGAACAGTGCAGTAATGATGGGAACAGGCAGGGGGTGAGGGCAGGGAACGGGCACATGGCATCCCAGTGTGTCTGGGCACTCCCAGCAGGCTAAAATTAAGAYTCTGGGGTAAAATTAGGACGGTTGTGGTTGCTGCAACCCTGTAAGTGTTCCAGGCCAGGCTGGATAAGGCCTTGAGCAACCTGGGCTAGTGGAGGGTGTCCCTGCACGTGGCAGGGGTAGGACTGGATGAGCTTTAAGTTCCTTTTCAACTCTTCAACTTTGTGTGATTCTGGGCTGTAAATAAAGTTCTGGTACTGCAGAGGCACTGTGAGAGCTGCAGTTCATCACCCTTGGACTGGGAAAGAGAGAAAATGTTCCCACCTCAGCTCTTTATTCCAAATGTGGAAAATAAACAAGTCTGGTCAGACAGCTAATGAGTCAACCATTAAAACCCGAGCAAACGGTTCCCAGCTTATGGAGCAGACTGAGCGTGTGAAAGTATGTCGTGGTTTTATRGAGCAATCACGGCGTTACTGAACTCTGGCTGTTATCACAAACGCCGGTAATCTGCCCTTTGTCACCGCAGGTAATTCAGGTGATCCGGCTGGGGCTGACAAGGTCATCTTCTGCGTGATTGTTAGGCCATTTTCTCAATAAAAAGGAGAAAAAAAGGGAGGAAAACCCGCCATAAACCTCAGCAGGAACTGAGCAGGTATGGGATCACCGCCTGCCCAACTGCAGGAAAGCGCTCCGGGTCTCTGCCTTGGCAAGAAAGACTTGTAATTTGCACCGACATTGTGTGCAGCGAGTTATTTCCTTTTTTTCATGATTAAACCCCCGTTTCTTGCCCGGAGATGAAAGCCAAGGGCTCTTCCTTTCTGGCTGCCTGCATAGGATGGGTTGAGCTGTGTCSCAGGGCCGGGACCCTCGGAAGGGACACGCCAGAGCAGCGGTGGCGTCACTGCCCTGTTTACTGCCCACATCCTGCTTTTCAGCCCGGGAGGAAATTCGTGTGGAAGGGGCCACGGATGGCTCACGTTTTGTGTTTCTGTCAGGCCTGGGGTGTTTTTAAAGTGGGGTGGTTTTTTTTTTTTTTTTTTTTTTTTCTGTGATAAAGATGTTTTCTGTCCTGTTGTGCCTCCTCCCCTGGGTGCCTCAAACATTAGCTGAGCCTCTGCAGTGCCCACCAATTCCTTGGATTGCACAGCGCGTTTTTTTCTGTAGTGCCCACCAATTCCTTGGATTGCAGAGTTTGTTTTTTTCTGGCAGGAGAGGCTCCCTCGGGGAACTTTAGGGCTGATGCAAGTCAGGGTTTAATGGCAGGAAGAGATGACAGAGGTGGTGGCTGTAACAGGTGCCTGGCAAGGGGACTGTCACAGCTCACAGTGAGCTACAGACGGAGGCAAAGGGCAACAGCCTGGCTCCAGTGAGGCCAGGACAAAATTCCTGTTGAGTTTGGCAAGGCTGGCATGTCACAGAGAGTGACAGAGCTGTGCTGGCATCACGGGCAGACCTGGCAGTGCCCAGCTCAGGCTGCCTCTGGCAWCCCAAATACAGCAGCCCCCTCCCCGCATTGCCACAAGCCTTTCAGCAAAATCCCGTTGGGTTTTTTCCCAAGGAAATGGTACTTGAGGGCTGTTTGCATGTACAAATATCATGAATTATTTGGAATGTGCAGGAGTTCAGTGTGGCACCAGCCACCAGCCCTGGAATTATTGGGAAAGACAAACACTTCACCCCAGAATGTGCCTTTGCCCAGGGC